TCAGGTGGTCTTAATCTCCAATGTTTTCCGGTCTCGTTCCAGCTCCACGTACAATAGTCCGCAGAGCTCGTACGCGACGATGAGTTCGCCTCGCCAGCAACACGGAAATCAGATGATGATGCTCCAGCAGCAGCAGCAACAACAGCAACAACAGCAGCAGCAGCAGCAACAGCAGCAGCAAGCTCAAATGCAGCAGCATATGCAGTACATGCACACTCAGCAGCAACAGCTGCAGCAACAAATGCAGTACAGAAGCCCCACGGGGGGCAGTCCGCCCGCCGTTCAGTCGAGCTCGGTGCCCGAGCCGAATAACAATACCACCACCAGCGAGGACAGCGATGATAGCACACCGCACTCTGGAATGGTAAGTGGCTTTGGAATGATCCCGGTGATTCCTGTGACTGGTGACGATTCCTTCAGATCGCTGGTATTAAACGACCGTCGCCCGAGCCGGCCGACGTTGGAGCGAAGAACCAGAGGAAGCCGAAGTCCCAGAAGAAGAAGAAGAAGAGGGATCCCAACGAGCCGCAGAAGCGAGTATCGTTTCTATTTCTCCCCCCTGTCTCCGCTGGTTCTACATCGGCCGATTTCCGTTTCAGACCCGTGTCGGCGTACGCGCTGTTCTTCAGAGACACGCAGGCGGCGATAAAGGGGCAGAACCCGAACGCGAGCTTCGGCGAGGTGTCGAAGATCGTTGCGTCGATGTGGGACGCTCTGGAAACGGAACACAAAAACGTGAGTGTTGTCGGATCATGTCGGAGAGATTAGATCACCAGGCACTTATGTGGTAGTTGAGTTTGTCTCTTATCCTATGGAATCGGTTTTAGGTTTACAAGAAGAAGACAGAGGCGGCGAAGAAGGAGTACTTGCAGGCTCTCGCGGCGTACAGAGCGTCCCTCGTCAGCAAAAGCGCCACTGAGAACGAGCAACAGCAACAGCCGTCGCCTCAGCAGCAGCAGCAGCAGCAGCAACAGCAAGTCCAGTACACAACGTACGGAAGCTACTCCGGGACAGGGACCCCCGTGAACGTGTCGTATCAGGTCTACAGCCCACAACCTCAGCCGCCATCCCCTCAGCAACAGCATTCTCATCCGCATTCGCATCAGCATCAACATCCGCATCATTCTCATCCCCAACAGCAGCAGCAGCAGCAGCAGCAACAACAGCAACAGCAACACCTTCAAATGAAAAAGTCTACCCATCATTTAACGATGGCGGGCAACCCTCAGCAGCAACAGTCGCAGGTAACGTTGTCTTTGGTCAAGTGTTCCTCGTTCTCTTAACACATTGCGTACCGGCTAATTTCCAGAATTGTGATGGCAATTTTCACTGAGGCCAACTTATATCACTGTACATAGAGAAACTCAGATATCATATTGTTATGTAATATATTTTAAACAGATAATCCGTTCAACACAACTGTAATATTTTGTTAACTGCTGTAATTAGCAAAGTTGTACAGCTAAGTGTCTTTACATAAAAACGGGATTTCTCGTTACCGGTGCGCAGTGTGTTTACACTGGAACTACTAGATGGGTCGAATTGATCCTATGTTCTACTTTCTCAATTATTAATCCCTTGTCGTGATTTTTAGATTAGGTTAACAGTCAATGTTTATTGCCCACGAATCAAAGTAAACTGTTTCGCTGTTATCAGTGTATTATCTTCAAATGAAATTTCCACTTGAAGTAAAGTGGATGATGCCTTTCTTCTAAACTGCTGATAGCAAAATGTTACGAGCTTAGTCAAGGGTTAACAAGATAACATGCTTCTCTAAATCACTAGAGAAATTGATTTACTAATAAATCTGAATCATAAATAAAATCTCAGTAGCCGTATTCTTAGTTCCTATAGACAAATTTTAAAACGTCGATTGGACTGTTCTAGTGTTAAGCTAGATCTAGCTCTCAACGTCCTTGTAGCTCAAGAGTCAACGACTGAACTGTTTTCAGAGTTTAATGTCCAATCCGATGGTGCAAACGCATATTGGCCAGCAGTCGCAGCAGTCGCAGCCCCAGCCGCAGCAACAGCAACATATACAACAGCAGGTCTCCCAGCCGCAGTACATGCAGGTTAGCGTTGCTGGCATACCGATGCGCTAGCAAGAAAACGACAGTTCCGCGTCGTCTCCATAAGTCTAACGGTTCCACGGTGTTTCCTCAGGTGCAGCCGCAGCAGGTGCAACAAGTGCAAGTGCAGCACCAGTCGCAGCAGCACCACCAGCAGCACCAGCCGCAGCAGCAGCAACAGATGCTGCACGCGAGCCCGCCGAAGGGAGACTCACTGTCGAGTCCCTCCCCGGTGGGTAGCACGGGTCAAGCGACCATAGCCGGCCAGCGACCAGCGTCCAACGCTTGCATCAGGCACGGCTGCCCGAATCCCGCGGTCGCGAACAGCGAGTGGGAGGACGAGTACTGCAGCAACGAATGCGTAGTCAGCCACTGCAGAGACGTGTTCACCACGTGGGTTTCCTCGAACCAGAATCCACAACAGAACTTTTCCACCGTGAAGTAGGAAAATATTTAATCGTTGACGCGCGACCATCGCGAACGCGCTCGACGGTTATATACCGGTCGTGTGTAACGGTCTCCTCCTCGTGCGTCGTAACGCTCGTTACAGAGTCGTGTGTTCGTTCGCTCGTTCGCTCGTTCGGGTTCGACACGAGTATACCTGATCTAAAGTATGTACATAAATTGACAACGAGATGCGCGTAGAATCGAGGAACTAAACCGACGACGCGACTCGACTGGTACGCGCAGGCATACGCACGGCTCGGAGGTAAAGCAGGGCCCTCCTTTCCCGAGAACCTCCTCCTCCTCGCGTGTCTCTCCTCTCCGCCGTGAAACGAATATTTTTGAGCCGTGCGCGCTTCTCGTCGGACCAACGAGTCGTTCACCGCGCTTCTATTCTCCTGTTTGCAAACGCGACGACTCCGCGCGTCGCGACAAAGTATTATGGAATCGCCAAAGTAGCTCATCGAACCGAACCGTAGTTCCGAGCCTTCGCAACCCTCTCATTAATTGCACCCCCAACCCCTGTCTCCTGTGAAACGCGTCGCGTCTTGGAAAAGAACGGCGAACGTGCGAGAGTGCATCGCTTGAACGCTGCCCGTTAACACGTTGACTGCCAAATAAGCTAGCCAAAACCTCCACACAGTTAAAATAATTTTCATAATAAACTAAACGGTCAAAAATCTTTGTAACGGGTGCCCTGTTCTTTCTGTACTTAATACATCTAACAAAATTCAGTTTTAAGTTGATGGAGAAAATGCCTGTAAATTCGGACACGGCAGTCAAAGTGTTAACCGACGACGCGTCCAACGTGATTTCTCGATATCAGTCGATACTCTCGGTCTCTGCGAGTCGTTCTTCCGAAAAAACGCGTCGTATTAACCCGTGTGCCAGAAACATTCGACGATTCCGAGACGTCTCGACGTCCAACGGGAGAGAAGGGCGAAGTCCGAGCTCACGTAGACACGTTAAGCGCCATGTCAGCCACTGACGCTTCTGAATGACTAAAGAACAATCGTAACAAGACAACCGATGTGAAATAATGTTTAATAAGGCAACTAAGTTGATAACAGTGTAACGCGAACGTTGCAACGCCAAACAGTTCATAAGTATTCCCACTTTTCTTTGCTACAAAAGACGAACTCTATGGGACGACGCTTGAGATTTTGGTGGCGCTTAACGTGTTGAAGCGAGGACCGACAATATCGAACAGGTCGAGGTCTCCTGTTCGCTCGTTCCGAAGTTCGACGAGCGCAACCGTGCGTGGACCGTCGAAACGAGTCGACACAGTATCCGACCCCGCCGTCTGCTGCGTATGTCCCGCGTATTAATCCTTGTCTCCTCGGCGTTGATTCTGCGCTCTCCGATAGCTGATCTTTAGGACGGACAGAAGAAAGATAGAGAATCGAAGAACGGAGAAGCCCGCGTCGACTCGAACGTCGGCGCGACCGTTTTTACACGATCGTTTCTTCTCGACATCTTTGTACATAGATGAAAGGAATATTACA